TCCATAGTCCATAGCCCCCCCCCCCCCTCCCCCAGCCTGGCCCCCCATTTAAAATGCTCTAGAACTGCCCCTGAACCGTGGTGTAGTTCGTTTATTGCAGGTGAAAGATTATGTGTATCTTTAGTCAGATACATTTACATTGGGAATGTGCCTCAGATGCAATCAACAGGAAATGTCTGTAAATGTGTGAACCAAATGGTCCATAAAGTTAGTATAACAAAGGAACAGCATTCCTCAGGAACTTCTTGTAGATTGCAGGATCTCTACACGTGAGAGTTCAGAAGATTTAGCAAAAACAATATTGAAAACAAGTAGTTTCCACATTTTTCCACCTATGTGCATAGAGAGAACAAGAAAACGGTTGGGATAAAAGCACATCATACTCTATTGTATTGTTGTGTATAAAAACTTTTAAGCTAAAAAATAAAAATAATAATAAACACATCATTAATAATTATATATTCAAATAACTAAAACATGAGATAATGTGCTTGTGTTTACTAATAAACTAAACTGTCATGAATCCAGTTCGTGGTTTTCCGTCTGCTTGCCACCAGAGGTCACTCTTCCATTACATTGACTCTCACACTACACAGACTGTTACATGTCACTCCGGACTACAGTTCCCATCTTCCATTGCACTGATTACACACACACAGCTGCAACCAATCAAACACACTTATAAACCTTGGGCTTCCTCTTTCAGATCGCCGAGTATTGTTTTACTCTCTTATTACTCTCCTAGTGATAGCAACTTTACGGAGCCATTCCATGTTTCCGGAGTTTAAGACAGTCAGTCCTGTTTAACCTGTGTCTTGATTTTAGCCTGGTTTACCTTGTCCTGTCTGATCTCTGCTTGCCCTGGAATTATCGCCTGTCTGTTGGATTACCCGTTTGCCTTGCCCCCTGGATCACATTTGCCGCTGATCGACCCCCGTCTGTTTACTAGACTACTCGTGTGTCTAGTAAATGTAAAAGGTAATGTCTTACCTGTTTGCTGGTGTTCGACCCTGCCTGTGTTTTGACCATGTCTGTGAATAAAAGCTTGCATATGGATCCGCACGCCTCTCATCTCGCGAACGCCCCGTTACATACACATTACCTAATGATTAACAGATAATTATTTCATGTAAATTAAAATGCTTACAAATGTCATTCAACTTTTAATTCATATAATCATGCACATCTTGGAAATCTTCAAATTATTTTAACAGATGTTATACACTTATTAAAAGCTTTTGTTAATGTACAACAGTTTTGCTGCTATTGGGGTGTGATATGGGTAAGATTTGAGACACGTTTGGTGGTATGGGTAGGTTTAAGGGTTGGTTAAGGGGTCAACAGTGTACAGGAGTCAATTTGATTACTATAAGGGAACACGGTTCAATCTGTTTATATTACATTCTTTTGATGAATGATAGGCTAATTGAAGTATTTTCTTGAAAAAATTATTTATTTTCTCTTGTTGATGTATAATTCAAGGAAAATTATTTATAATGATACACAACAGTATACTAATATAAGTGTTGAGGCAATAAAAACATGTTTTGCACCCAAATTACAATGTGTATTACTGTATGTCTTTAGCAAGCTAAAACAAAGCAAGCTTAAAGCTAAACTTCACTGTCCACCCGTTGTTACAGCAGCTAAAAGTTCAATGCCCATAAATATACTAAAAGATTAGTTAATGTTTATAAACTTTAACAAATGATGAATAATCTCAACTTTAGATTGGGTATTCCAAAAACATGAACAACTGATTAAAAACGTATTTGTAAAGATGTGTAATAGGGTGAATTCGGGTGATTTGGGACACATTTTGCCATTGAGACGACTGCTCATTAAGGTAATAATGATTAGTAAACATTTATAAACATTTACAAATTATGAATAGTTTACGCTTTAGATTGGGTACTGCAAAATCATGAACAAATTATTAATAAATGGTTTGTTGAAATGTGAAAATAGTAGAAGTCTACACAACAAATGAAGACCAAATATACAATGGAGATCAAAATTAGAGAACAACCTACAATTTTCAAGGTCACTGCTTAGTCAAAATTGAAGTTATCCTAACAGGAGTAAAATGGCAGTTTTTTAAGCACATTTCATAAATTAATTGTATTCTGAAGCACATATAAAAAACTTAAATGAGATATTTAAAAAAGAACTCTGATCAAAATGAGAGAACACTTACAGATACTTCCAAGGCACCACTGAACTCTGACCCTCTAACGGACTCTCCAACTCCCCCCTCCCAAATACACACACACACTGTCACTTTAATCAGTCTGAATAAGCTCTTTTGCACTACAATCATTATATCTGCACTGTTGTCTACTTTACTGGTTTGCACTCTATCTGCCATATGCCTTGTGCTTTATATATATATTTTTACATTTTACCTTATTTGTATATTTGTATAGTTGTATTTTGTATTTAATCTGTATTTATGTTATCTGTATGCACCAAGGGTCTGAGAGTAACGCAATTTCAATTCTCTGTGTGTATGTGCTGTACATGTGGAAGAACTGACAATAAAGCAGACTTGAACTTGAACAAGTTATTGGTGTTAATCTGGCACCTGGTGCTAAATTCCTTCATTATACGACAAACCCTATTTAACTGGCAATATTACTCCAATTTTCACTGAGATTGCAAGATGGTGTGCCGCTCTAAGGTGACTGAAACCCTTAGACAGCATGTTGTCCAGATGAAGGCCAAACGGATGACACTTTCAGCCACTGCAAGAGAAGATGGTGGTTCCAAATCTGTGATTTCTAGAATATTGCAGCTTTAGAATGATACTAATTAATTCAAGTCCACCAAAAAGGCTAGTCGTCCAAGTAAGACAAATTCACGAGAAGACAGGATAATGCAGAGACTCTCAATTGGGAATTGTTTCAACACTGCAGCTGGAATTTCTCACCAGTTCAGTGCTGAACATGGTGTGGATCTGTAGCGGCACATTTAAAAGAAGTCGGACAGAAAGTGCACTCTGCAATGACCAAGCCTCTACACTTCCTACTAATTTTTTACAGCTGTAACCCTCCAAAATTTTAGTTGTAATCTTCTTTTGTGCTACAGTGGTTACTGTTCTTTAATTTTGATCACTGTTTTCCACAAAATAATTTTTGTTGTTGTTGAAATTCTCTGGTTATTTTGTAAAACATGTTAGTAGAACAGAATATTCCTTCAAATTTTGAGCAATGAAGATTAACAATATTTCAGAAAAAAATAATTTATAGGCTGGTCTCTTATTTTGATCTCCACTGTGTGACCTTTAAAGACTGTGATTATGTGTGGTTCATTGTTTGCTTATAACTGGAGTCACTTAATCATGCAGATTTATGCTACAAGCTTTTGTAGAATTGTACAGTAAGAAAGTTATTTCCCTTAACCAGGAAATTAACGTTCTTAGAATTGACAAGACAGTTGGCCCTGAGAGGTCAGCTAAATATCTACAGCGGATCTAAATATTCATAATTAATTATAACTAGTTATGATTAATTATTCATATTTCCCATGAGCTGATTCGTTACATATGAGTAAATGAATAATGTTAAAATGAATAGTTTGTAAAGTGATTAAAATGACTAATTAAGCAATTTTTTCAACATTTGTAAATGTAAAAAAGCATTAGGTAATATTTGAACTTAAATTTAATGTCATTTGTTAGCATTCAAAAGTACATTAATAAATAAACTTGTAATAATTGTATAATTTTTGTTCCAGTTATTTGTAGATTTTTAAAAACGGCATGATCATATGAATTGAAAGTTGAATGACTTGTGAGTTTAATCATTTGTAAGCATTAACTAATGATCCGTTAAGCATTATATAATGTTTGTTAATGATATATTAGTGGTTTTTAATCATTGTAAATCATGTTAAAATCATTTTCATTTTTAAAAAGTGATATGAATTGAAAGTTTAATAACATCTGTTAACATTTAAATTTGCATTAAATAATGATCTGTTAATCATTAGATAGTTTAATAAGTACATTATTAAGCATTAACAAGCATATTATCTCATATTTCTAGCCAAAAAAGGTAACACTTTATTTATTTTCCTCATTTAGTAGAGACCAGGGGGTGCTGTACACTATAAGCTGAAATATGGTTTGGGTTTGTCATAACATTTGTGAACAAGAGGAAAGCATTTGTGACCAAGAGGAAAAAATAAATAAATTAGGATCCTCTCCAAAACCACCAATCCAATCAGCTGTCAGACTTTTTGTAACTATTCCTTCTCTTTTTTGTCAGGTTATATCCAAGCATGCCGTGCATTAATGATCATATCTATTGTGCTGGGCACATTCGGACTGGTGGCAACTCTAGTGGGTATGCAGTGTTCCAAAATAGGAGGGGAAAATTACGTAATGAAGGATCGGATCGCTGGGGCTGGAGGTGTCTTCTTCATACTTCAAGGTAAGAACATCACCAAATGACATCATTTACTGTCTTAGCACCTGTCATATAGGGGAGGTTGGGGTTAGTTGTGATACTTTTTTTTCTCAGGTCGAGGTACACTGCACAGAGCACACAGAACCATTGATGAGAATATGGTAGCAAAAAACAGCAAACCACAGTTGTGGTCAACTGAATTTTTTGTTTAAGCAATTGTGTAAAATTTCTCTATGAAACATGTGACAACTTTCCCAACCTAACATTTATGAGAAGTTCCCTTTTCCTCTCAGTTAAAATCTACAATCATTATCTAATTGAGTCTTGTATGAAAGTATGTCAGTTTGGCATTTTTATTTTGTTTACCAAACAGCTACATCAAATGTTTGTGTGTTTTTTTTTTATTTAAGCACTAGAGAACTGCCTTTACTTAGGTAATGTCAGGGTTCTTTTACAAAAAGAGCTGGTTAACACTTCGATTAAATTTGTTAACTTTCATTCACTAGATTTTCAACTAACGGTGAATTTTTTTTATACAATATACTATATTTTATATAGCATTTCTTACTAGGTAAATGGTAATCTATAAATACACTATCTAGGGTAATGATAGTTTATAAATATACTATTCATTGTTAATTATTGTTTGTTCATATTACATTAATGTATACAAACTGCAATGTTAAAAACATATTAGTATATGTAGAGGGTAACATTAACCACGATTAGTAAACACTGCAATAATATCGTTATGATACCCAATTAAATATTGTTAATGTTAATGAACTGAAACTTGTAAAGTTTTACCAAGAACTATAAAGATTATGTTTTCATAATATATACTGCATGTCTTCCAAAAGGCCTATGATAGACTGTCTTGGTAAGGAGAGTAAATGAATAATGTTAAAATGAATAGTTTGTAAAGTGATTAAAATGACTAATTAAGCAATTTTTTCAACATTTGTAAATGTAAAAAAGCATTAGGTAATATTTGAACTTAAATTTAATGTCATTTGTTAGCATTCAAAAGTACATTAATAAATAAACTTGTAATAATTGTATAATTTTTGTTCCAGTTATTTGTAGATTTTTAAAAACGGCATGATCATATGAATTGAAAGTTGAATGACTTGTGAGTTTAATCATTTGTAAGCATTAACTAATGATCCGTTAAGCATTATATAATGTTTGTTAATGATATATTAGTGGTTTTTAATCATTGTAAATCATGTTAAAATCATTTTCATTTTTAAAAAGTGATATGAATTGAAAGTTTAATAACATCTGTTAACATTTAAATTTGCATTAAATAATGATCTGTTAATCATTAGATAGTTTAATAAGTACATTATTAAGCATTAACAAGCATATTATCTCATATTTCTAGCCAAAAAAGGTAACACTTTATTTATTTTCCTCATTTAGTAGAGACCAGGGGGTGCTGTACACTATAAGCAGAAATATGGTTTGGGTTTGTCATAACATTTGTGAACAAGAGGAAAGCATTTGTGACCAAGAGGAAAAAATAAATAAATTAGGATCCTCTCCAAAACCACCAATCCAATCAGCTGTCAGACTTTTTGTAACTATTCCTTCTCTTTTTTGTCAGGTTATATCCAAGCATGCCGTGCATTAATGATCATATCTATTGTGCTGGGCACATTCGGACTGGTGGCAACTCTAGTGGGTATGCAGTGTTCCAAAATAGGAGGGGAAAATTACGTAATGAAGGATCGGATCGCTGGGGCTGGAGGTGTCTTCTTCATACTTCAAGGTAAGAACATCACCAAATGACATCATTTACTGTCTTAGCACCTGTCATATAGGGGAGGTTGGGGTTAGTTGTGATACTTTTTTTTCTCAGGTCGAGGTACACTGCACAGAGCACACAGAACCATTGATGAGAATATGGTAGCAAAAAACAGCAAACCACAGTTGTGGTCAACTGAATTTTTTGTTTAAGCAATTGTGTAAAATTTCTCTATGAAACATGTGACAACTTTCCCAACCTAACATTTATGAGAAGTTCCCTTTTCCTCTCAGTTAAAATCTACAATCATTATCTAATTGAGTCTTGTATGAAAGTATGTCAGTTTGGCATTTTTATTTTGTTTACCAAACAGCTACATCAAATGTTTGTGTGTTTTTTTTTTATTTAAGCACTAGAGAACTGCCTTTACTTAGGTAATGTCAGGGTTCTTTTACAAAAAGAGCTGGTTAACACTTCGATTAAATTTGTTAACTTTCATTCACTAGATTTTCAACTAACGGTGAATTTTTTTTATACAATATACTATATTTTATATAGCATTTCTTACTAGGTAAATGGTAATCTATAAATACACTATCTAGGGTAATGATAGTTTATAAATATACTATTCATTGTTAATTATTTTAATATTGTTCATATTACATTAATGTATACAAACTGCAATGTTAAAAACATATTAGTATATGTAGAGGGTAACATTAACCACGATTAGTAAACACTGCATAAATATCGTTATGATACCCAATTAAATATTGTTAATTTTAATGAACTGAAACTTGTAAAGTTTTACCAAGAACTATAAAGATTATGTTTTCATAATATATACTGCATGTCTTCCAAAAGGCCTATGATAGACTGTCTTGGTAAGGAGAAGCATATGTGATTAAACCTTTTGCAGTTTGTCCCTAAATTAATGTTCATGTTTCAGGTCTGTGCACGATGATTGCAGCGTCTTGGTATGCTTTCAATATCACTCAGGAATTCTTTGACCCACTTTATCCAGGAATAAAGTAAGTGGAATATAGAGTCTTTATCTTAGTATGTAGAACTATTAGAGAAAATATTAAGACCTAAAGAATCAGTTTCTTTTTCTCAGTTCATCATATTTGTGAGTTTTCTAATTAAGCAATATCGAATGAGTAGGAGCGCCGTTTCAGACAAAATTGGCCAGTCATAAAAGATCAGCATTCTTGGAATGCCACTGCGGTGTAACGTTTGATGTGTCCTGTCTTTAGGTATGAAATCGGAGATGGGCTATACATTGGTTGGAGTTCAGCCACAATGGCTTTATGTGGTGGCAGCTGCTTGCTGTGTTCCTGTGGAATTCGCAGCCCAGAGGAAAAAAAGTAAGTTTAGTATGCAACACATGCCCTGTTAAAATGACACACTTTATTTACTAACCATTTCAGAAACTCTATATCAGTAACCTGCCTAAGACATTGTACGGACAGTGCGGCAGCAGGTGATATCAGTTGTTTGTTTTTACAAATGTCTGTGTTTACAATATATATATTTTTTTCATTTTGTTTGTTTAGATCACATCTTCAGAACTTCAGATCATACTCCTACCAGCCTCAATCCAGACATATGGTTCAGACTGTATCTGCAACATCCAATGTCCCTTCCAGCCAATATGGACTCAATGTATACGTGTAAGAAACTTACTGAATACCTGGGATCAACAAAGTTACAGACATCACAAAACAGAGAACACACCATGCAAGACCCTTTTTATGCATTATGGTCAAAATCTGCTATAAAGCAGAAATGTCACATTTCTAATGTAAATATTCTCTGAGGTTTACTGGAGAATGGAGTCATGTAAACAGGTTATTGTAATTATTTCTGAGATAAAAATGTATTCGCATGCAGTAAATTGTTGTTGTACAAGAATTTGCAAGAAAAGAGCAGGGGGTTTTTGTTGAGACAATTTTTTTTTTTTTAAAAACACTTCAAAATATGGATGGGAGAAAAACTAATATTTTTCCGATGCATCTATTTCAGTAATTTACTTTCTAAATGCTCTACGAATGCATAATTTATGCTGTCTGGAATGCAGTACATTTTGGACACATGATGCTTACTTACAGACCGCTGCTTTAAAATGCTCACATGCGCTTTTGTGTGCTCGTTCTGAAGCGCAATTGCGGTATGAGGCACTTGCACCTCAAAATGCTTTTATTATGTGAAAGTACAGTCAATTGTCTTCTTGACAGGACAAAACATCTGATATGTTAAAACAGAGCTGTGCATTATAATGTGTGAATGCAGCCTATTAGACCTGCCTCTGTCTGATGTCATCAGTCAGCAAACAGCAAAAAATGTTTATAAAACTAATATAACTAATTTAATAAAAATGCATATATAAATTTGATATTCATGGTCAATAAACTCATTAAATAATAATTTTAAAAATGTGGATCAAAACCAGTTTGGAATCGGATCTGATCGTGAGGTGCCTGAAGATTCCCACCCCTACTAAAATGTATTATATATCTTTTCATTTTACATTAACTTGACCATTATGTTGGACCAGGATGTTATTTAGATCAGCCCTTCTTTAGATTGGTTAATATCTTCATGTTGTGATAAATAATTATGATGAATTCTATAGAAAACTAAACATTTTCCAAGAATTTATTTTATTCTTTTTATAAGAAGCATTTAAATAACGTACTGTGTTGATATATATAATTTATTAGCACCCTAAATCACTCTTGTTATTTCAGCACGGCTGAAATATGCTGTTCTGTTTACATATGCAATAATAATACCAATAATGAACTAATAAATTGAATGCAATAAAGTCTGTGGTCTGTGATGTGAATAACCTCTGCTGGTGATATGAGGTTACGAGGGAAAATTAGTGGTGCAATGACAAGACAAATATGAGAAAGATTATGAAAGATGTCTCTTATTGAAAAATGTAAGTGTCAGTATTTACACATAACGTGCACCACTCACATGCAAGCAAACACACAAACAAAAAGGTACAGTTTACATCATGTTGTTATTATTCTTGTTTCAACAGAGGACCAAACCACTGTGTATGGAATTGAAGTTCCCTGAAAAATAAGGAAAAATCCATTTGGTGCGAATAAATCCAGCTAGAGTGAATCTTCACTGCCATTTCTATATTTGCAGACAAAATGTGTGTGTGGAAACTACATTCTCTGTAGTCCATTTGGTGACCCCAAAAGCCTCTACAGTTGTCAGAGTCCATGGGTGGTCATCTGAAGGCTTTCAGATTCCACTTCTATCGAAACCACATGATGGCCAGGGATCATCGCCAGTCCCAACACTCTGGGCTCACCTTGTGAGAAAGAATCTGTGCAAATTTTGATAAAAAGACCAATCAAGAGCTGTAGACTCCCAACTCAGTTCCAATTTTTGATGTTACTGTTGTTATACAAGTAAAGCTACACTTTACGTATTACTTCACACAAAAATGAAACTTTGCTGTAAATTCACTCACTCGCAGGCCATTTGGGAGTCAAAAAAGCAGATACAGGCAACACAAAATTAATATAGTGTGTTTAAGTAATACTGCGCGGTACATCCTCTTTTTCTCTGACATTTTATGGCCAGGATTTCTAAATTTCCTAAAATATCCAGGTTTTGGCTTAGTTTTACTGTTGATGTGCTCTCTACAGTCCTCAAACATTGAACACATATATGCATTGCTTTGACCGTTTTCTGCAGATCCCATCTTCTTGCCGCCATGATTGGAGGATTATGTACAATGTCTGCACCTTATTGGTCAAAATACTTTCAGTCACTACCTTTAGCAAATTTGAAAACAACAAGAAAAAGCAAAAAATGTTTTGCCAATTTAGAAATCCCGACCGGCACATGTCTGGGAACAAGAGGACGTATGGTAACCCTATCCTGATGATATATTGAGGTCTTAAAAAGTGAAACGACTTGTCACCTACATCTTGGATGGCCTGAGGGTAAGCACATTTTCATTTGTGGGTGAACTACTCCTTTAAATATGAAATATCACTAGTAACCGCACTTTTTCGTGAAATACTATAGTATTTCACAAATACAGCATCACCCCACTACCAAATTAGGTGGTGATGATCTGTTGAAGTCTGAAGCCTTGCCTCTCCTCAACAGACTGAATCATTTTAGAAGTTTCAAAGTATCCATAGCAGAAATAGTTTGTGGTAAGTCTTTGAGAATTATTAGATTGTAGTCCGAATTCCTGACAATATACAGCAAAAGTAGACTTGCATAAACAAGCACTACTAATAACAGTACAATAACTTGACACTAAAGCAGGGGTGTCAAACTCAATTCCTGGAGAGCCGGATTAATTATGCACACCTGATCCAACTAATCGAGTCCTTCTGGCTTATTTGAAAACTACATAGTATGTGAGCTGGAGCAGGGTTGGAACAGAACTCTGCAGGGCTCCGGTCCTCCAGGAATTGAGTTTGACACCCCTGCACTAAAGAGTAATACTGAGTGCTGATAAAGCATAAGGTGTGTGTCCAGGGTGTTCTGGGTACCTGTGGATTTGAGGAACTCTTGTGCAGATCCCAGGATGACATTGCAGTCTCTGTCTGTGCACAGGAAGAGTCCCACCAGCGTGCGCCCGTCTGTCATCCGGATCCTCATGCTCTTATTGAGGAGGTTCTCCAGCTTACACCGAGCGAGCGAATAAGCAGACGCCTCCACCTGAGACACAACATATAATTTACATCGACCACAGAGATAAAACATATTCAATTAATTGGATCAGCATATTTAACCACGCCGCTGTTTTCCTTTCAAATGTAATAACCGTATATCATAAAGGTTTGATAGCATCAGAAGTATTCGATTAAAAATGTAATACTCATGAAGCACCGACATAAATTAATCATAGTGCTTATTAGCATTAGCTCGAGCGTTAATATTTCACTGGCCCTTATGTGACAAAGTATTCAGACCTCAGTTTGCATTTCCGTGCCGTTCTCTTCGCTTTCTGTTGCCATTTGAGCCTTCTTGGTGTTTGAGTCTTTGTATAAATGCGAATCAAATGGAAAAGAGATGGCGAGAGTTACTCAAAGAAGCAATCTTCTTCTTTTTTTTTTTTATTGGCGGCTCGCATTCTTAAAAAGAGCATTACTGCCATCTACTGTGGGTTATGGATCTTCTCGCTTCTTCTTCTTCTTCTGGCTTTTTATGGTGGTTGGCAAACAAACAAAAAGGTGCATTTCCGCCACCTACTGAGCTGGAGTGTGATTCATTGCTGGAACAGGAGGACTAAGCTGAGAGAGAGAAAAAAAAACCTTAAGAAAAGGACCACTAATATTAAATTGGCTTCTAAATCCTCTTAAACAGATGCACTTTTCTTAAATATTTTATTAATGCTTTATATACTCTATAACTTTCCAATCCATTATTCAGCAGTTTTTTAAGTGTAGTATTTCCTATCCCTATTTCTTTGAACTCTTCCACCAGAATTATCCTTTCATTTTGATAAACAGTGCAATATATTAATATATGCTCTACAGTTTTTGCTAATCCACATAAACTGCAATTCCCAGACTCATGTTTGTTCATTCTATACAGGGAATAATTAAGAGCTGTATGCCCAAGGTGAAGTCTGGTAATGATTGTGTCTTCTCTTCTACTGTGACGACTTCCTCTTTCACTACCAATTTTATTTTGAATCTGATAAATATGTCTTCCTCTTTCCTCCTCATTCCATTGTATGCCATTTGCCTTTTATAGCTGTTCTAATTATAGCCTTAACTTCTTCTTTACAAAGTGGAATATTCAGTTCTATAGAAGATCATTTCTGGATCTTCTCTCACCAGATGTATTAGGACTTATGCTTGTTGTTCAGCTCTTCCATCTTATATATAATACTATATATAGCTTCTTTAATTTAAATTAATTCCCTGAAACGCCAGTATGCACAAGAACTCATACAAACCCTTATTTACATTATATGTAATATCTGAAATATTTCCATCAAAATATCTTAGTTTCAATCTGTTGAGCATCCAGACTTAATAGTAATATTATTAGTAATTCAAATTAATAGTAATTCTCCTGTAAACACTGAAACTTGATCTGATTTCTTTTTTCCCTCTCCTTGGGATGATGTATGCAAACCCACACTTGCATCTTTAGACACATCTGTAAAAACCTGATTATAATGTTCATACTTAGTCCATAAATACTCCCTTGTTAACTCTGCCTCGAATGCATTTTGACCCTTATCTTGTCATGCTTCCAATAGGAATAAATCAACATTTGGTTGTGTTAAAATCCATAGAGGTATTGGTGGTAATATTAAAGTGGCATAATATTGCACTCGTTTCATTTCATATCCTGCACCAAATCCTCAATGATCCACCCAAAACTATTAATTGTTTCTATATTCCCAACATGATTCTAATACCTTTTTTGTTGGGGGATTTTCCTTCTGACCTTTTAATAGCATCTCCCCCATCTCCACCTGTAATGCTGGAACTGGAGAAGGAGGATAGGCACCACAACAAATCCTTAATTCTTTTGACTTTTTGATCTTATTAATATATGTACTCCATGTAGCTTTCCTGTCAAACCACATACCCAGAAATCGTATCATTTTAACTTGTTCTAATTCCTTATTATATAATTGTAGACTTAAATCTTGATTTATAGATCATTTAATCTGCTGTAAATATGATGTATAAATGAAGTAACAGTGCCCTAGGTGAATTGGACCGCTGTTTCGAAGCCCTCGAAAACCCCCACAAAGGACATCTTCTGGTTAAAGTAGTGTGAATGCAACAAGACAGCAGCAAAAATATGCTTCATAAAGCAGTGTTTCAAATGCGATTATCACAGGCGTTCATCCTGTTCACTTATAAAATAAGGTTTTCAGGTCTGGGCTATGTGCCTGCCAAGTTCTTACATTCTTACACATTGTTTTATAAATGCTGCTCTGCGCACAGTGAATCAGAAGGTTCAGTTTAATTACAAAATGTCTAGGGACAATTGCAATTTCAAGTTGAGGACAGAAGCTTGAAATATTCCAACTACTAATGACAACAAAAACAGTATTTGGAAGATGTATTTTAAAGATGTCAAATTTACTTTGCATTGAACATTGGCACAAAATTTAACATTAATTGAAACATTAATTAGAATATCATTATCAACATTTTTATTGTTCTTGTTTCAATATTTTTTAAATCTTTTCTAAGATTGTGAAGATATAGTATTAAAAGTTAACATACAAAGCAAAACTATTCACTAAGTATTCCTTAACTAAACTAATCACATGTCTTAATGTTCTTTAAGGTGCTTCCAGTCCTAGATTATCCAGAGCTATTCCATGAAAGCGGAGAAAATGCCATCCCTCTTTAGCTGT